AGACTTATAAAATGTATTGTCATGGAAAACTTAATGGCAAAGTATCTGAAAAATAAGTTGGTATTTTCATTCCTGAGTCTTGAATTATATCTGTGAGGTAAGGTATTGAGAAGAGAGGATCCTTTAACTAGACACTTGAGATAGAGGACTCAGAGATCATTAGAACTAGGTAGATAAGATCTTGGGCCAGGTTAAGAAAATATGTACTACCTGGGACGAATTTACCACAAAATTGACTTAATGGCAAAATTAACATTCTTCCTCTGTCGAAAGAAAATGTAAGACTACTTTGGGCCGGGAGCGGTGGCTCACGCCTGTAATCCCAGCACTTTGGGAGGCCGAGGTGAGTAGATCACGATGTCAGGAGTTGGAGGCCAACCAGGCCAACATGGTGAAATCCTGTCTCTACTAAAAATACAAAAATTAACCAGGCGCAGTGGCAGGTGCCTGTAATCCCAGCTACTCAGGAGGCTGAGGCAGGAGAATCGCTTGAACCAGGGAGGCAGAGGTTGCAGTGAGCCAAGAATGTACCACTGCACTCTAGCCTGGGTGACAGAGCAAGACTCCATCTAAAAAAAAAAAAAAGACTACTTTTAAAAACATTGTGTTTTTAGAGAAACACACACTTCAAGAATAAATTATTCTTGAATATTTTACCACAGAGCCTTAAACCTGGGTAGCTGAGAACGGGGGTTAAGAAGGAAACTTTTCTTCATATATTTTTATGTATTTTCTGAATTTTGAGCCATATAAGTGTGTTACAGCTCCAAAAAATATATATATAATTTTGTAAAGAAAAAAACTAATTGATATTAGAAAATAAAATTAAAATTCCCTAGATAAAAGAGGATGGTAAAGGAGAAACACATTTGCTTTGATTAGGGGCTGAGAGGAAGTTAGTCACCTGATTGTTAATACTCCACCATCCCTAGCTCCCAAATTGTTAATTCAAACCGATGGTTGTTTTATTTTTGTTTAAATTTGGGGGTGGGCAAGTAGTAATCTACTTTCCAAAAGAAAAAAAATAAGAGGGTCTTTTCCAGCAAGATCTTTATTCTCCACCGCTCAAATCCCATTAACACTAATCAGCACAATGATTAAGCACATTGTGGTTAAGTACTCTAGTTGATAATGATTCTTTTGGAAGAAAGGTTCCCATAGCGACAGGTAAAGGCTATCATCAAACTCAGCTTTTCAGCACAGGACTTGATGTCACAGGTCAGAGAGTTAAGATTGTTTTAGTATTAATCTGGAGGCTTTCTTTAACTTCACTTGACTTTACCCATTCAAATGACACTGATGGAGAGTCCTTCTATAAACCAGGCAAAGTACAAAACACTGGGGGGCAGGAGAGCTCAGAGAAAGAAGACCTCAAAGATAAGCTATTGTTCCTGCCCCAAGAATTGCAGTCTGCCAAGGAAAGCAGCCACTACAAGAAATAATGACATTAGGGTGGTAATTCAATCCTTAAATCTGCAACCATGCCTCTAGTCCTCATCACTAGGACTGGTCAGTTTCTAATCTAGTTTCACTTTCCCATCTTCAAGCTGCAGCACAGCTGGGTTTCCAGCTGGCTAGGGAAGAAAAGATTCTTTAAATAAACAGCATTTTAAAAATATGTAGTCGCTTTTGCTATACTGAATTTTGTGAACCACCTTTCTCTAATATGTGAATCTGGGTGCCACATTAATTTAAAACTATCCTAAAGAATGTAAAATTCTCCAGGAATACACCTTTCCTTGTTTAACAACAAAGTACACTATACACTGGAAAACCGCTAATCAGGAAATCCCAAAGAAAGAAATGATCTTTATTTTTTATGCTATTTACTGCATCTATTCAATAAGGAAACTGCTTAAAAACATGAATATAAGAAAACAACAAGATAGGGTGTAATTATACCAAAATATATGCAACCATCTTTTAAAATGCAGGACTATTTGCAGAACAGGATGCTTTTATAACATTGTACAGAGTTGCTAATCCCTGCAAGGTCTTTCTAACTCTTTTTCCTTGCCTTTCCACAGAAGGTACAGAAAACACCTCCCTCCGTACATGCAATCTTCTAAGAAATGCAAAGATTTTACTCAACTCTATCACCAGATGTACTCTTTCTGGATAAATGATACACATTAGATATGTAAAAATACCACTCTGGCAGGTCTTGCTATTCCAGCAAGACCCCTGTCTACCTTTCCCCACCTTATATTACAGACTTCAGGTTGGAAACGAGCCATTTACGAGGACTGGTAAGAAGAGGTCCAGTGTGACCTCCCGCATTGATGCTCCTGAGGCCAATTTTTAAACACAATATTATCCCTCCATTTGGTGCTCCCCCCACAAAAAAAAACCCCACAAGCTTTGTAGATGACCTCCCAGGGAACCACACCTCTCAGAACCTACACACACTCAGACCCGAAACTAGCTAAACAAAGCAACAATGCAACCTCAGTTGCTCAATATAACGGCCACGACGACAGTTTCCAAGTGCCAGTTTCCCTATTTTGCAATGGGCAAATCTGCTCCAAGGAGAAAATGTTCCCAATGACCCTGTGGCCCAGAGGGCTTTCTTTAGAATAGAAAACAGAAAATGAATTTGTTAGTTATTTCCTGCTAAGCACAAGGACAGTGTTGTGGTTAGTTAGGATGATTTTGTTTCCTTATTTAATATACCATCACCAGTACATGTTTTCTTTAACCACACAGCAGAAAATAAGAAAATGCAGTTTATGCTCTTCTGTTATATTATCACCAATTCCACAAGTCTCACAAATAGGTACTTTAATTTCTAATCCCCTTAGATAAGGCTCCCCAAAATAGTACCTATTTATACACTTTCCTTTGAATATCAATTCAAAGCAATTTTTTGCATTCTAAAATGTTTACTGCCATACACATTCCTGATCCTTGATAATTTGTGATATGTGAGGGCCCTTCCTTTACCAGTGATTGCAGTTCTAAATGTATCTTTTTAAGAACTGTACTACACATGCTATTTTGATAATATGAGATGATCATAATCTAGAAACAGACCATGTTTCTGACCCTCAAATCTTTCATGATTTCTGCATTCAACTGTTAAGCTATTAAATACTCACTAGAACAAACAATGTGTAATTGATGAGGCATATTGTGTTGGGGGAAGGAGAAAGTAGAAGGAGGCAGACAAGGGAGAAGAGAAGCCAGTTACTCTATGGGGTTGTCTGACAAAGACCATCAAGTCCTCAGCAGCCCAGACTAGGGATTACGTGGAGATATACACTGTGCAAATGCAGGAGCAACTCACCAACAACCAAACAGCAGCTGTCCTTGAACAAGGTTCAATAAATATTTTTACTATCTATTTTTCACTGTATAATACTGTTTCACAGCTCCCCAAGGGATCTCAGATAAAATACTCAATAGAATAAAAAACTAGAAATTCTTAGCTGGTCTCTGTTTGTCATCATAAAACATTTCAGAACATAAAAGTAATATTAAAAAGCAGTCGATGATATTCCTAAGGATAATGTCAGGGTGATAAACGGCTGTTATCCCCCAAAGTTTTCCCCTCCTTATTAAGACATTGCCAAGATTCTTCTCATTAAAGTGATCACAGTTTAACACAGTTAGTGCCTAGATATACTCCCATAACTAAACTCCTAAAATTTGCCTCCTGAAGGGAGTGGGAGAGGAAAGCTTCCAAAAGTCATAGGTATTGATCTAGAAAGATGAGGGCAGCAAAACTTACTATAAGCTGTTACACATATTTTGCTACTCAAACAAAGCCTGTCTACACTACCTAGAATCAGTTGGTAAACTGGTAAACATACCAATTTCTATGAGAGTACAGGACGTCTATCATAATTCAGCGATTACACAGTCCAGCAAGTCATACCACATGCCAACAAATTCAGCTTTAGTTGGGACAAAAAGAAACCCCAACGTGAATAAGCACGAGACGGGCTTACACCAAATGCTCCAGTGTGGGTCAATTTGATCTGAAATATCTTACTAAGAAGTAAGTACTGGATTCAGGGACAAGAAGAAAAAGCTCTTAGACTGACATTTCTTTGACTTTTGACATGGGAGACTTCCATTCCCAGCTGCAGAGATCTACAGATTTCATGTTTTGTTTCTAATCACCTGCATTCCTGTGCAGCATCCAACATCATGAAGATGAAAGATGCAGTCAAATACATCTGGCGAGTAAGACGTTAGAGCTGAACTTAAAGCATTCAGCAGAAGTAAGTTACTCTCTTTCATCATCATCGCAATCAACAGACCTTGTAATATCCCCCAGAAACAGCTATTACAAAAAAAAAAAAAAAAAAAAAAGAGGTGACTGCTTGCTAGTCTTAAGAAAAGGATGGGCTACCTGCTTAGCAAAAACAGACAATCACGATGGAGAAAAAAACTGGAGCCACATGGAGGACGGAAAACAGTAGCAGAAAAAGTCCAACTCTGCCTGCGCCAGCGGTGTGGATGAGCAGAGCAACCAGCCCAGGAGAGGAAGGAGGGGGCGGGGGCGATCATTCCCTAGGAGAACTTGTAAGCGGAGGCCTTCACAGCCTGGGAGTCTGCCCAGCTGCTCCTGCAGACCCTGCCAGCCTGGGCACGGCAGGCCCACGGGAGCAGAGCGGGCAAGGCCTCCGAGGGTCACTCCTGACACTGAGCCTCAGGCCAGCACCGCCAGGACCTCTCCGTTTTTCCTTCCGCTACTGGGCTATGATGGCAGCTTTCCAGCCCCACATGCCATACATCAGCCGCAGATCCCCGCTGGCACAGGCCAGCGCCTCCCTCCGCCCCCCGCCCCTGGCACACTTTGAGCCTGATCCTCCTTCTCTTCAACCCCAACCCCCTCACCCACCCGTGCCAGGCGCCCTGCCCAGGGGCGGCCCCACCCCCCACCGCCCGGACTTTGCCAGGCCCGGGCACCTGCAGCACCTCCCCGCCCCACCCCCATTCTCCACCACCTCGCCCCTCCCCCCTTTCTCCAGCAAAGGGAGGGGGCGACTCACCGCAGTCAGTGCACAGGATCTTGCCCACCTCTTTCTTGAGATTTTTGCCGTTGGTGTCGAGGGGGGCAAAGGCCGTCTTAAAGACTAAGGGCTGTTCCGTGGGCTCCAGGAAAAAGATGTAGCGCTGGTTTCTTTCGAGCGGCGCACAGGAGCCCACGCTGATCACCTGCTCGCGCTGCAGCCCCCCGCTCCGGAGCGGCCACTTGTCCAGCACCTTTACCAGCACCACCCGACCCGAGGCGGGCGGCTCTCGGGTGCTGTTGGAGCTGGAGCCGCCGGCTGGGGCCAGCCCCTGTACCTTGCCCTCCACCACCACGGGTGCCTTGTACGCCTGGTCCTGCACCGACTTGAGGCTGGGCGAGTAGCAGGCGAGCGACACACCGAAGAGCAGCATGGAGAAGCCGGGGGCCGGGTCGCGCCTCATGCCGCCGGCGGCTGCGGCTCGCGAACGGGCGGCGGCTCTCCGGGCTGCGGAGCTGCGGGGCTGCGGCTGTTGCTGCGGCCGCGGCTCTGGGGGCGCAGCGGGACGAGAGATGCTGCTGTTGTTGCTGCTGCTCCTGCTGCTGCCGCCGCTCTCGCTGCTGCTGCTGCTGCTCCTCTCGCTGCTGCTGCTGCTGCTGTCGCTGTAGCTGCTGCACCGACCCTTCTCCAGTGGCGGCGGCGGCAGCGCTGAGCAGCAAACCTGCCGCATCTGGCCAGGCCATTTGGGGGGCTCCGCCGCTCAGCCGCCGCCGCCTTGGGAGGGGAAACAGAGCCCGCTGGAAAACCGGAAACAGCGTAACGTTAGCGCCTCTTAGCCCTCCACCGGCAGCCCGGGGAGGTGGCCCAGCTAGGGCAGGGGGCAGGCGGCAAGCGGGCCGCGATGCGCAGCGCGGCGCAGCGCAGCGCTCCCACCCTGTGCGCCAGGACCTGGAGGAGGATGCGGAGGATGGGACGCCCGCCCACTTGCTCTCTCGCGCCCCCTCTGCCCCCAGACTGAGTGGGGAGCGCGGCTTCTGCAGGGGAAGCTTGGGACTGCACTGCTTTAGTGCCCGCCTTCAGCCCGCAGGGGCGAGGGAGGAATCGTGCCACCCTTTGCTCTCGGGATTTATCGGTATGACAGTAGGGGTGGTGCGTGAGGAGAAGGCGGAGAAGAGATAACGGGCTCCTGACACCATCCTATGAACGTGGGAATGGGACGCAGGGCGTGCCCCCTGCCTTTGGCCGGCAGCTGTAGGAGCCAGAGAGGTTGCCATGGCCAGGGTGGCCGGCCAGCCTCTCGCCTCTTGGGCTGTCCTCTTTCCTAGGAGGACCCTGGAGCCCAGCCCCTAAATGATACCACGTGCTCGGTCCTGCCACCGCCTGGTGAGAGCTGGATATTCGACTTGAGGTGGGGGAGGATCCCAGCCCCGTCATTACGGAAAGAGTTGAGCTACAAGGTGTCTTGTCTCAGCATTGAGGACACCGAAGTGGTGGCTGAGAAAGGGTCCAGTCCCCAACACTCTGGCCTTTCTTCAGCAGCCACGTGGGGATCTGGCTGAGCACTGTACAACCTAATCTTTTAAAAATCTGCTAAGAGAGGTGGGGGGCTTCTTGGGAGCCAATAGAGAGCCAGAGCCTGACAGGGTCTGTCTGGCTGCTCCATAAAAAAGGTTTTGTTTTGTTTTGTTTTGTTTTTCCAAGGCTGATGCTTGCAAGAGGCAGAAGAGTTTGCTGCACTGGAGCCAGCATCTGATTTAAAACACACACACACACACACACACACACACACACACACCCACCCCCACCCAGCTCCATAATCCATTTGCCTATCAGTGAGGGTCCAGGGAGTTTTCAACACTCAGCTTTTAACCTTGAAAGATGTGGAGCTCAGGAATGCCAGTGAGATCTTGGGGAATTTTATACCGAACTTGGCTCCACAGGAAACTGGTCCAAGGATGACTGTCTTAGGCTAGGACTGCTATTCTGGAAAGGAAGTAGAGAGAGCTACACCTTTCCTCCCGGCTAAGAGACATCTTAAACTCAATACATCCAAAACCAACATCATTATTTCTTCCACTTCACTCCAAATCACCTATAATTATTAATGCCACTGTTTTATTCTTTTAGACTATATCAATCCATTACAATGAGTCCCTTCATCTCATCTTTTATTCTTCCTCATCCAATTAATCACCAAGGCCTTTGGGTCTCCCTTTTAAAATAATCTCCAATTTATCTACTTCCACTCCAACTCTGCTGCAAACACCTGAAGTCCAAGTCCTCATCATCTCTCACCTGGACAACTTCAAAGCCTATTAACTGGTCTCCACTCCTTTCACCTCATCACCTATCTCCAGTCCTACCAATGCCAGAGTGATCCTTCTAAAAATAAAATGTAAGCACAATTTGGCCATGCTACCGCTCTCAGAAGTAAAGTCCAAACTCCTCAGCAAGGCTCTTCATGGGCTCTCTTTGTCTAGCCAACTTCATATCCTAAGAGCCAACCTCCCACCCTAGCAATCCTCAGCACTTCATGCTGTTTCTTGGTGTGCTTCTGCACACAATGTCTCTTGTGTCCAGAAAGCCTCACCTCCACCTTGTCCACATGGATAACTATTCTTTTCCCAAGGCCCAGCTCAGCATTATACTGCATCTCCCTTCCTACATATCCACCTCTACTCCCACCAACATACACATAGATGATGGAATTAATCCCTTCCTCCTCTGTATTGCCATGAGCCTCTCACATAGTATTACTGTTGGGATATGGCCCATACTGTATTTCAAGCAGCCATTTAATGGGTCTGCATCTCCCATCAGGCCAGGCATGTTAATGTAAGGGACTATATATATATCCTATTCGCCTTTGGATTCCTATTACCTCCAACACAATGCCTGGCATAAAATAAGGATTAGCAAATCTCCAGTGAAAGAAGGAGAGAAGGAAGAAAATAACTGAAAATTGGCACTTTTAAAGCCATCAAGCCAACCTTGTTGGCTCCTTCAGTGTCCCCCATTTCATTTTCATAGATCACAGACCTCATAAATCACAAAACATCACTATAAGGAAGATAGCGACATCTGCTCTTTCATTTTTCAATGAAAGAAAAAGTCCCAGAGGGGATAGGGGACTTATTCAAGATCTCACACAGCCAGGACTGAACTCAGTCTTCTGTTCCTGAGACGAGGGTCGTAGTGAAGAATTTGTGCTCTGGAGACCAGAAGAGCTGGGTTTTAAAGCAACTCTGTAACTTACCAACTTTGGGATGAGTCTATTTTACTCTCTAGGCCTTAGTTTCCTTATCAGTATGAAGGAGAAAATAATAGGGTCTACTTCATAAAGCCATTTTTTGCTTATTATGTGCTTTCAATAAATATTCAATCAAATGGCTCCTCTGTGCCAGTCACTGAGGCACTATATGTTACTGGGTACGCTGTGGTGAACCAAACTGTTCAATAGTACATGTCTGTGCTCTCAAAGCTCATACTCTGGGAAGACAACAGTAAACAAGTACACAAATGGGTAACTAATTACTTGTATTGCTGAGTATCCTGAAGGAAATAAACAGGATGAAATGATAGAGAATAATGGAAAGGGGAGAGGATAGGTCTACTTGGATAACAGAAGGCTTGTCTGAGGAGATAACATTTAAGCTGAGACTAGAAGGATGAGGAGGATGTGGATTATGTGAGATAATATGTAAAGTGCTTAGAACAATGTCTGGTGCACAGTAAGGGCCAAACTTAACGTTGAGAATTATTAATATTTTACTTACACTGGTGGTTCCCAATCTAAGAGCTGCGAATTTCTAAGTGGTATTAGCCTACTGTGGTAGGCTAAGTGGGGTAGATCACTTGAGGTCAGGAGTTCAAGACTAGCCTGGCCAACATGGTGAAACCCTATCTTTACTACAAAAAAAAAAAAAAAAAAAAAAAAAAAAAAGGCTGGGCTTGGTGGTGCTCACCTGTAATCCCAGCTGCTTGGGAGGCTGAGGCAGGGAAATGCTAGAACCCAGGAGGCAGAGGTTGCAGTAAGGCTCATAACACTGCACTCCAGCCTGGGCAACAGAGCCCTATCTCAAAAAAAAAAAAAAAAAAAAAGCAATACAATTTTTCAATAGCATATGTCATGAAGAATAAATATATTATTTTCTTCTCTCTCTCTCTTATCTATTTATTTATTTATTTATTTATTGAGACGGAGTTTTAGTCTTGTTGCCCATGCTGGAGTGCAATAGTGCAATCTTGGCTCACTGCAACCTCTGCTTCCCAGGTTCAAGCAATTCTGCCTCAGCCTCCCAAGTAGCTGGGACTACAGGGTCCCGCCACCACTCCCAGCTAATTTTGTATTTTTAGAAGAAACGGGGTTCTACCATGTTGGCCAGGCTGGTCTCGAACTCCCGACCTCAAGTGATCCACCCACCTCGTCCTCCCAAAGTGCTGGAATTACAGGCCTGGGCCACCGTGCCTGGCCAGCATCACTTTCATTGTCATCTAAGAGGTCTTTAATTTCCTCAAACTGTTTCCACATATACACTATTCGAAATTCATAACACTGAAGAGCACATGGGATAAGCATTATTTTACAAAAACATGAGGAAAATCGACACACGGAGAATTTAAGTGACTTTCCCAAGATCACAAAGCTATGGATATCTTTTTTTGCCAAGATTTATAACAAACTCAATCTCACACTTTTGAATAGAACCACATAAAGAAACGGAAGCCAGACCTGTTCACTATACCATGGCTTAGCACAAGGTTGTGAAAAAAACTGGTTCATGGTAGCAGTGGGCTGTGTCACTATATAATAATCACTAAGAACAAAAACAGAAGTAGACAGAATGGTATAGACATTCTGAATTCAAGATAGAACACCCACATGAAAAGCTTGGCTTCTTTTCTCGGATCCCTCCCACACAGGATGGGCTTCTTCCAGCTTTAGCCAGGATAGCAGGCCAGAAAGGGCCACTGAACCAGGTTCATGGCTTACTGCAGCTAGGAGAACTGGCTAATCAAGGAGATCTGTATGGCCTTTATCTGGTCACTGAGTCTCACAAATCAAGCCGAACACTTTGCAGGGCAGTCTCGCTTTCTAAATAAAGAAATTTTGTAAACTTATTTTTTCTCCTTTTGAAATCTGTTTTCTAAATTTGGCTTCCAGAGTCACTTTCAGGTTCTGTATGGTTAATTTCTTTTCATCCAAGGATTTTCAAACAAGGGACTAAACAGAAAACAGATATTGAGAGTCAGAATGTTAGCACTGGGGAAGACTTTAGTATCAATGTAGCCTGATGTCCTTCTTTTACAGAGGAAGGCACAGAGACCATGGAGATTATTTGATTTGCTCAAGGTCACACAGCCTTGTTGGCAGCAGGAATAGCCCTCATTCCCTGACCCCTGGCCCAGTGCTCTTTTGTCTACTTTTCAAAATCCTGACTCCACCTCTACTGGAACGTGAGCTTGGACAACTCACTTCACCTTTTTGGTTTGTTTGTTTTTTGAGATGGAGTCTTGCTCTGTCACCCAGGCTGGAGTGCAGTGGCGTGATCTCGGCTCACTGCAACCTCTGCCTCCCGGGTACAAGCGATTCTCCTGCCTCAGCCTCCTGAGTAGCTGGGATTACAGGCACGCGCCATCACACCCAGATAATTTTTGTATTTTTAGTAGAGACAGGGTTTCACCATTTTGGTTGGGCTAGTTTTGAACTCCTGACCTCGTGATCCTCCCGCCTCAGCCTCCCAACGTGCTGGGATTACAGGCTGAGCCACCACGCCCGGCCACTTCACCTTTTTAAGTCTTTTCATTTCTGAGCCTTAACTACTTTGCATTTCACAACTGGAAAATTTATAGTGGTTTAATAACTTTCCAAATGACAGACACAGTTGGGACTCTAATCCAAGCTTGTCCATTGCCAAAGCACGTCCTCATGCATAGCACCGTCAGAACTCCCTGGGTAAGAGGCAGTCTCTTGGTGTCACTTTCATTATCATCTAAGAGGTCTCTAATTTCTCTGATTTCCTTTTTTGGAAGGGGCCCCCAGTAAAATATCTACTTCTTAGGAGTTGTGTAAGGATTAAGTGAGTTAATTCATGTGAAATGTTTCACACAGTAGCTGGACACAGAGAAACTTGCTAAGTGTGAAGTCTCTGGAGTCAAACTGCCTGCGTCTGAATTCCAGCTCTGCCAGTTTGCTTGACTGACATTTTGGCCTAGCTACTTACGTTCTCTGTCTCAGTTTCCTCAACTGTAAAGTGAGTAAAATGATATATCTTCCTACATCATTAAAATTGTTATG